ACCGGTAGTTTTCAAGAGGCGTGACATAAATATACACCAACAACGAAAGAAAGTTGTAGAAAACAAAGGCGCGCGCTTTAACTCTTTAGGGTATATAAAAGGAAAAGACTTGCTAGTAATTAATTTATCATTCAACAGGGACGTGCTTATGAGCTGCGAAATGAGTTATTATCAGACCAGCTCGTCTCCCCGGAGCAAAGGGCCAGCTCCGTTTCTGTCCAAGACTTATGCTTTGTTAGAGGAAGAAGGTGGTGCTGTGGAGGATAGCGGTGGCAAGAAAATAGTGTCGTGGAACGATGAAGGGTCGGGGTTCGTGGTGTGGTCGCCGGCGGAGTTTTCGGAACTGACTTTGCCTAGATATTTCAAGCACAATAATTTTTCTAGCTTTATTCGCCAACTTAATACATATGTGAGTTGTTTTCCTTTCCAGAGCCCAGTTCTTTTCTCCCAACAATATTTTCAACTTTTTTCATACACGTGTTTTTTTTCCTATTTAGCAATGCAAAAATTCTAATAATGGATTAACATGAGATGTTACGATACTATCGTATCTCATGGAAATTTTAAATCATAATATGATTTAGGTATTTTTTTTCATTTTTTCATTTAATTTAATTTTTATTCTAAAAAATTTATAATTGAAATAATCATATTGAAGGATCAAATTATCGTGCTAAATGAGGTTTTATAAAAAAATATATTAAAATTTTAATTGAAATATTTAATAACGTTAAATAATGATGTTATAAAATTAGAGGATCAAATTATGTGAAATTAATACATAGATATTAAAATCTAAATCTTAATATGGTAGAAGAACCAAGTGTTTTGAGAAAAATTCATGATATAATTTTAATTGCAATGATGTTAAATAAGGGCATTATATTGTAAAAAAATAGAGGTATTATAGAAATAGGGGCTCAAATTTTGCAAATTAGTTTGTAGGGATTAAATTATAAATCTTACCATTGTAGAAGGACTAAAACCATAATTAAATAAATCATTAATCTTTCCAAAAGGGAAATAATCTCAAAATGTTGTAATTGTTCTTGGCAATTAGTAGGGGTTTAAGAAAACATCATCAAGGAGATGGGAATTCAAGCACGACAAGTTTCAGAGAGGTCAGAAGCAAATGCTAGTGGAGATAACTCGAAAGAGGACGGAGCCAAGCGTGTTCCCTGCTTTCTTGAAGGCTTCCTCTCGTCCGACGAAGATCATCACATCATGAATGGCATCGACGATGAAATGAGCGTTCATCGTCAGACACTAATGGAGGAGAACCAGAATCTGAGGAGAGAGAAGGTGGAGTTGCAGACCCAAATAGCACAATTCAAAGCTCTGCAGATTAAGCTGTTGGATTGCGTTGCTCGGCACACGGAACCAACAAGAATCGCCAGGAAACTAGCACTGCTAGGTGACTATATAGCTAGCTTGATTCCTTCTGTCTTGATATTCTTCTATTGTAGCCAGAGGTTATACTTGTGTGGTGCTTGACAAAATAAGCAAAGAATGGGAAACAAAACGAAGAAAAAGTCTTTCATTGTCTGTAGCTCATGTGCTCAATGGTCATGGAATCTATGGAATATCATTTGCTTCCCTCACTTCTTTATATGATTAACACGTTGGGTTATAATATAAATCTGAAAGGATACGAAGGCAAGTAGTAAACCCGTGAATAAATTTGGATAAAAAATCTAACTTTATTTAAAATGAGTTATGTTCGGATTTTAACAATCATGGTTGAGTTTAGTCTTGCAAGTTTATTATAAATATTTTTGTTTAAAAGAAATTTAAAGCTACGTTTGTTTCATGAAAAATAATTTTTATTCTTTTCGGTATTTGATTGATGTAAAATAGGTTAATCAGCGTCATTGATTCTCTTAGCTGACCTCATTTTACTTATACCCAAAACAATCTTAGTGGCACCTTTCCCTCATCAACATTAGTAATAACACTGAAATGTCTCCTTCGATGATGAAGATAAGAGTCTCAAATGTTAACAATAATCCTACTTCATTATATTTTGTTAACAAATGTTAAAATCAGGTGCATAACCATAGAAAACATCAATTGTAAAAACAATAATCAGGTGCATAATCATTATTGGTTGTAAAAAATTACCCAAATCATAGAGCTTATTTTATATGAAAACCCAACATCATAACCCATTATTGAGAAAAAGGCCAAAGAAACGACCCATATTCATTAACCCATATGTCTCATAAGCGCTACTCGAAGGGTCTTCACTACCTGTTCAATTTCATCTCATTTCTCTGCAATCCCAAACACAATATGGGTTTGTAAGCAGATTTATTATACAAACAGGGTCAACAAAGCACTTTGTATTCCAGAATCAGTCCTCTTGGAAGCCCCGACAAAAGCGTTGTAGCTGAGCTTGAAGACTGGCCCAAACATGGGAACAACATTCGGGTCGGTGAGATTCAACGCATCATTCATGATCTTCGCAAGCGAAAACGCTTCACTCAGGCTCTTCAGGTTTTTTTTTTTAAATAATCTATTTTTCGAGTTTAATTTGTTTGAAAATTTTGTATTTGCAATACTTTTGCATTTGGGTTTTCTTGATGCTTATCGAAATTCATTACTATTTATAAGTAGCAGGGACGATTTTGTAACAGTTGTTTAATTAACATTTTGTAACGTTTGAAAGTTCAATGACCAAAAAGAACAATGCAGTGACTCTGTTGTACATTGCCCCAAACTGAATGATGCTGCCTTGAATTTTTGAACTTTAAACAGCCAAGACAGGTTTTTGCATCATCACTGCCAACAAGTTTCCTAGAGCTTTTTGCATAATTTGATTTGAATTTGATCAGGGGCATGCTTCTGAGAGATTATTTGTCAATAAGGAAACTGTTGGCTTGAAATAATGTCAAAATCTGTAAGCTGATGTAATGGAGATGATTGAGTAAAAGGTGAGGCTTTGTTTTCTTGAGTAAACTCCCGACCTGCAAATTTTAGTATGTGTATAACTGGAATCATGAACATAGCAGATAAGAAAGAAAACAGTTTCAATTTTGAAAGAATGATCGATTTTTCGGGTGCATTAGTTTGAGTTGAGTTAGTCATTCAGTATTGTCCTTGTAATAGTTGATTCTGATTCATAACTGTTGATATAATCGTAATGTGTAACTTCAAGAAAAGAAAATATTGTTGCTGGATGCTCCACATTGTTGCCTAAAGTGGAGATGGATGAATGAATGTGAACTTGTTATTTAAAGGATGATTGTGGCAAGTAGCTTGACACTTAAATTGTTTCATATCGGGTTTTATTTTTTGGTTTGTAGTGGTCGAATACGTATCTGCATGAAATTTTCGAGTTAAGGAATTGTGAGTTTAGGTGGTAATTGAATGTTTAAACTTCGAACCATTAGATTATGGATAACTTTATTTCTTTTCTGTTACTTTCTGATGTCTAACGTGTGTAGGTTTCTGAATGGATGAATAGAAAGGGTCTTTGTGCCTTTTCTCCTACTGAACATGCCGTGCTCATCAGTAAAGTTCGAGGATTTGCTTCCGCTGAAAGCTATTTTAATAAGTTGAAGGACCAAGATAAAACCGATAAGACATATGGTGCTATTCTGAATTGTTATGAACGGCAGCAGCAGACAGACAAGTCCCTGTCTCATTTGCGGAAAATGGAGTTGGGTTTTGCCTCGACGGCTCTTATTTACAATGATATTATGTGCCTTTACACAAATACCGGACAGCATGAGAAGGTACCTGATGTAATGAGGGAGATGAAAGAGAACGTCTCCCCCGATAACTTCAGTACGGAATCTGTGTGAATTCCTTCAGTCTAATGTCGAATCTCGATGGAATGGAAGGACTTTTAACCGAGATGGAGAACCAACCTCACATTGAGATGGATTGGAACACTTATGCTGTTGTTGCCAATGTTTACATAAAGCAGGCCTTACTGAAAAGGCAATTGACGCACTGAAAAAATCCGAACGAAAGCTAGATAATAAAGATGGAACCGGCTACAATCATCTAATATCACTATACGCAAGCTTGGGAGACAAAGCCGAGGTCTTGAGATTATGGGGTCTAGAGAAAACTGCTTGTAAAAGGTATATAAACAAGGGTTTCGTTACTATGCTGCAATCTCTTGTGAAGCTTGATGAATTGGAAGAAGCAGAGAAAGTACTAGAGTAATGGGAATCATCTGGCAACTGTTATGATTTTCGGATACCAAATATCGTCATTGTTGGGTATATTAGAAATGGTCTACATGAGAAGGCAGAAGTGATGCTTGAAAATCTGCTGGAAAAAGGTAAGACCACCATCCCTAATAGTTGGGGCCTGGTGGCAGCAGGTTACCTAGATAAAGGTCAGGCGAAAAAGCTTTCGAGTGCATGAAAGCTGCCCTATCTTTCTTTGTGGAGGATAAGGGGTGGAAACCGAACCTCAGGGTGGTTACTGGCATCTTGGATTGGCTAGGTGATAAAGGCAGTGTTAGTGACACGGAAGAATTCGTGGAGTCGCTGAGGAGAACGATTCCAGTTGACCGAAAAATGTATCATGCCTTGTTGAAGGCAAATACATGACATGGTAAAAGAGTGGAGGGACTTTTGAACCGCATGAAAGCCGATAAAATAAATGAAATGAAGAAACAAAAACAATGTTGGCCATTAAATCCAGCTAGATCTCATTGTTTGGTTCCTCATTATTCATTGATCTGTGTATGCTTTTCCATCTGGTGGCCATTGTAGTCATTCAGACTCGGAGATCAGCTTTTGGGTTGTACTTGTTTCCGCATTTTGATACTTGAAATCTTTTTACATCCATAAATATTTTTATGCTTTTAGAGGAAAAGTATTAATTTTAAATAAACGAGTCGATAAACGAACTATCAAACAAGCTTGAAGCACCAGTAGAGATAATTTGAGGGTAAAAACAAAACCAACAAATTATAAAGGTTTTGCTGTACTGTTAATTGGCACACATTCAAGACTGAAAAGTCTGGATTTGAAGCCAGGGTTCTGTTCCCAAGTTAGTTTTAAACACACTTAACCCACGTTACTCGGACAGAGTTGCTTTAAGCTCTCCGCTGTTTCGCAGCTCCAAAACAATGTCACAACCTCCTATAAGCTCACCTTTGTAAAAAAGTTGAGGAAAGGTCGGCCAGTTCGAGAACACTTTCAATCCCTGTCTCACCTCATCGTCGGTTAAAATATCAAATGACCCAAAACTCACACCTTCATCCTTTAGAGCATTGACAACTTTAGAGCTGAAACCACATCTCGGAGCATCGGGAGTACCCTTCATGAAGAGCATCACTGGTGAAGATGAAATCAAACTTCTCAGACGGTCCTCTAGTGTCTCTTTCTTAACGATACCTTTCTCGGTTAAAATCTTTCGAAGCTGACCACTTTTCTGCATCTCTAAAATGATGTCTGACCCACCAATAAGTTCACCTTTAATATACAATTGGGGGTAACTTGACCAATTTGAATAGACTTTCAGTCCTTGACGAGCTTCATCATCTGTGAGTATGTCAAAACTCTTGAAATCGACTCTCTTGTTTAAGGATTTCAACTACCTTGTGGCTGAAGCCACACTTGGGTTCATCAGGCTTTCCCTTCATAAACAGCATAACTGGGCTTGAATTAACCAAGCTTTGCAGACAAGAAGTTAGGTTTGCACTTAATCCAGTGGGTTCTGAGGTTCCACCAGTACTCGGTTCAGACCCAACAACATCAACTCCATGATCTCTGAAAACTTCTTTAAGTTCACCACTTTCATGCATGGAAATTACTATGTCACACCCACCAAGAAGTTCTCCTTTGCAATAGAGTTGTGGAAATGTCGGCCAGTTAGAGAACTTCTTTAAACCTTCACGAACTTCGTTATCCGATAGAATATCAAATGTTCCAAATTTGACCGTTTCATCCTTCAAAACATCAACAACTTTTCTGCTAAAACCACACTTGGGCTCCTCGGGGGTTCCTTTCATGAATAGCATTACTGGATGAGAGTCAATCAGCTGCTGCAGTCGCTTCTTAAGTTTGTCATCGACCAGTTTGCATTTGATTTCCTGTCTGGATTGAACAATTTACCTTAGCCAAATCTTGGACTGTCTCAAGGACGGTGGGGCCAGCAGCCATTCTGAGACTAGCAGGAGCAGCAGCTTCTCCAGGGTTAATTGACCCAACAACTTTGGCAACTTTGTTTGCCAGACTGGAAGGATCTGCACCCTCCAACTTATCAACAACCTTACCATCCTGACAGAAACATTCAAATAGCCAACCATATCACTTTTTGAGAATGTTTAAATAGCAAAATGGGATTCTAACCAAACCTAGCACCGTGAAATAAAACTTCAAGCAAGTTTTCAAAAAGGCAATATTAAATGAAAAATGGGCACAACTAGATAGCCAGCCTCGATCAGTGGTAAAACGAAAATTCTTGCCTTTATTCAAGATGGTCGGTGATGGGAAAGTTTAATTAAATGTTTAACAAATAACAAGTCAATTAGCCTCACTTCTCTAGTATATCTAAGATGAGCTTAGACCTATGTTGCTCGGACACTTCATTTTTCATGAAGTACTCATGTCCAACACTTGGATACGTGGATGTGACCTCCAAGGATCCTTCAAATATATGGAAAAACTTGGAAAAATCTAACATAATGTCTGACACTTACACCTGAGTCCGAGTAACATAGGTTTAGACTGCATGCAGCGTCCCTTTAAGGCCTTCTTTACCATTCAATCATTTTCATCAGAAATCGACCTTCCTTCCATGCTCCCAATTACGACAAACTACAGCATATACATGATCATTAATTTTCTTTCCATGATGAATGATCCATCTATATAGAAAGTCTTCCCAAATATCAATTGGAATACTCATAGCCTAGGAATCTCCTGTGTAAGAACAAACAACTAATGATAATTACCCACCCTATTTACCAAAAAAATAAGTATCAAATCAATATTCCACAAGACTTTTCATCTTTAATCCAATACTGATTCAGGGTACGTTTAAGAATTGGATCGAGTTCAGTACTAGCATGTTGACACATACACCATGGATTAAATCAACATCAGTGTGAAACTTATCATACACGTTCTTTCTTTCCATAGCCACTAGCACTAAAAGAGAGAAAATATTCAATCATTAGAAATCCACAGCATACCAAGAACAGCAGCAGCCAACTATTATTCAAAATATTATAAAATATTTAATCCCACAATTCAAAGTGTACCAAAAAAATTAAAATACCCATAAAAAGATTCTACCTTAAAGAAGACAAAGAAAGGCACAGCAGAGACCGAGTACTCCTCAGATATCTCAGGCTGCTCTTCAGCTTCTACCTGCAACACAATCATTACCCATCAATCAAAACACAATTTTTTTCATCACAGAAAGAAGAAAAACAACGAAAAAACATTAAAAAAATCCCAAATAATGAAAATCCAAATTTTAAAGGGAAGAGAAGGGGAACCCTAAGGAAGTGAGAGTTGGGAAAATCGGTAGAGAGATGAGAAAAGACTTGGTCCATGTGCTTCGAAGCCTCACACCAAGAAGCCCAGAAGTGAAGGATAAGTGGGGCGCCACTCTGGCGCAACCCATCGAGCTCGGCCTTTGATTTGACGTCTTTTACTGAACCACCAGCGCCACCTCCTCCCATCGTTATGCTCAATGGTTTGGATTATTGAGTTCGTTTCCTTCTCTGCTTCAAAGAGAAATAGAGAGCCTTCTAGACGGCGCTTATAGAGAGTAAAAAATTTCACCTCTAGTCTTTTAATGCTTTGGGTAAACATCTCCAACTTTCGTCTTATTTTTATTTTAATTACTTACTTTTTTTAAAAAAAAATTAATTATTTAGTTTTGAATCTTTATCGTTGTTTATTTTTTAGTCTCTTTTTTCCTCGTTGTTGTTGTTTTTTTTATCATTGTTTCGGTACTGTCAGTCGATAAGTTATAATATTTTTCATTAAATATCTCAACTATTACTTTTGTTCTATTTTGATCATCCAATTATTATTTTAATTATCCGTTTCACGCACATCCCTAATTATTAGGGTATATAAATTGATAATGTCATTGTTGTTTAAATGATAAAAGTAAATTTTTATTGCAATAAAATTATTTGGGGTTATTGTACTTGAAGAAATCAACAAAAATGTTCACCTTTTCATCTCCACGGTTAATCGTTAATAGTGTTATCAATTTGAATCTATTAATAACATCATAAAATAAAAGTTATGAAGAAATCATATCAAATTAAAGTAAAAAATTTAAATTCCAAATTTTAACACAGTAGAGATACTAAAATCATAATTAAACCTAATACTTTTACCTGGAGGAAATGAGGCAGAGGATTTTCCACAAGCCATTCGTATAGTATTTGGATCATCGGCTAAGACCAGGGAGCCATCTCCAGCCATTCCCCATTTGAGCTCAACGCTTCCTTCGCGGTCCTTATTAACATTGTTAAATAAAACAACGTTATAAAGGTTGATGTATAATGAAAAATTATAATTACGAATATTTGTGTCGATTCACTCTTTATGATTTAAACTAAAATCGTATTCATTAATAATTATGGTTAAATTAGAATGAGCTTACTCTAGCCACGAACAGGGTACTGCATTTAGCATCAAATAGAATGAAAGCAAACTTTCCTTGGAGATCTTTAATGACTTGATCAGGTGGATATGGAGCTCGGTCTGGAAGAACCTTGTAAGCATCAACCACAAGCATGGCCTCCGTCGCTTGTCTCGACAAGCCGTAATGTCGTCGGAGCTCGCAAATGTTCGCGAGAGTCCCCGTAAAGATGCAGAAGATGTCATCCGTGACAAACATGGACCTTTGGTGCAAAGGAGATTGAGCTTCATGCGACAGTGTCATGAGATTACCATTCGAAAGGTGGTAAAAGGTAGACTTGGGTCACAACAACCTGATCATCTCCGAGATTTCTTCCCTAATTTTCTTGCAACCGAAGCCAATCGAAGGAAGTCGAAGCTCCTCCGGTGGATTTCCGATTCATTGCTCAAAAACCGCCAACATTTTTCTTTGCAGAAAAAATCGCAACCAAAGCTTATTGCATGCAACAGACCTGCTTTGCTCCAGATAATCTCTTAAACTGATGTAGCTTTGTAACTGAAAAAAAAAGTGTGACGGTTCTCGTTTCAGAAGCTTACAAGAAAATATTAAATTGGGCTCTGTGCATGTGGCACATCTCGGAGTCTTGCATACAGCAACGGTGGACAGATTGTTTGGTTTCTTCCTCAGGTGGGCTGACATCTCAGATTGCGGTTTCCGAGAAAAGAAAACAATAGAAATGATGGGGTTATTCAGACAAACAAACAAACTGGACAGCTAGATTAATGGATAATGAAGCAAACTAGTGTTGTTAACCGTTACAACTTGCTACTCGATTATCAGCTTACTTTCATGGATGAATCTTCCATGCACCATGCTAAGCCAAGGCCTGGGAACTGAGGGAAACAAATGAGTTTAGCCAAGTATAATTCTGCTTTTTTTAGTTCGATTGATATCAATCACTATTGTTACAATATATAAGTGGACGTAAAATAAAATGTACTTGTTACTCTAAAGCTGCATGAGTTTGGCATTCATTAGCCTTTAGGTTAAAGTTCGACCTCTTTGATAAAACGAAGGGGGATCAAGTCTTTTTTTTTTTTGGCAGTTGGGTCGTGTTTTCTCGGATTCTAGTATCTCAAAAAGCTATGCTTGTTTAGTTGACCTTAACAAGTTTAAATCCTCAGGTGGGCTGACATCTCAGATTGCACTTGTTACTCTACGTGAGTCTATTAGCTTACTTTCACGGATGAATCATCCAAGCCAAGCAAAGACCTGGGAACCGAGGGAAACAACTGAATCAAAATTGCCAATTCAAAAGTAACCATCTTAACTACATTTGTGTACAGAAATATATACCGAATGTGAACTCAAAGGAAAATGAACGTCCTTTAATTGATGTAAGCAACTGTACAGCCATAATTCATCGGATTATCCTGTTCGTACTTCATCACGCGTGGGTGATTTCTTAATATTTCCAGTGCTCGCTCCTTAACGACACCAGTGCCCATGCCATGCACAACAAACAGAACCGAGTTTGATCCTCTTTCTGCGATGGCGATGTCAAGTTGGTGAGCAGCCTCTTCCACTCGCATACCACGGAGATCCACGGTGTTCTTTGAGGTCTGAATTAACGGGCCAAAAGTAGTCACACCACTTTCTGTGGTGTTTGAATTGCTGGGGAATTCTCTGCTCTGTTCTTCCTATAGCAAATATGAGCAGAACCAGAGCTATTAGATTCAAATCCAAGACGAGCAGAAGATTATAATCTGTCATACATGAAACAAACCCAAAATGCTACTTTTTACGGTATGATTCAATACTTAGCTGAAGACTGACCAGCTTCATTGCATCGACTTGATATAGGTGAATATTTTGCGCATAAATATGCACAAGTATGACATAAACCATGGGCTACTTGTCAGTAAGTCTTCACAAGGCATTAAAAAAAGGGTACATAAAACACTATTCGACATGTTTTTGGATGCAACTAAAGTATAGCAAAAACAAACAAGAAAATAACATGTTTAAGAAAGCCATCATTATTACCCACCTGTCTTTTGAAACTCTGCCTGGAGCTGATTGCATCGTTTCTTTTGCTACTTGAAATAGGTCTAACGTTACTCTTCTCAACTCGGACCCTAATTTTACCGTATTGAATTAGCACAGTGTTCTCATCCTCAGATGCTGCAACAACAGTAGCTAACTTGTTTCCTAGTCTCATCACAAGGACTTGCTCACCAGACTGAGGTTGATATGAACGTGCATCTGTTTCAGTAAAAGAGAAACTGTCACCATGTCGATGAGCTTTTAGAATGGAGTTAATAGCAGATTCCGATTTCCTAATCAATGCATTGAACTCCTCAGAATCAGCAGTTTGGAGCTGATCCTCAAATTCCCGTACCACAGTTTCAATTTGGGATTTTGCAGCTTTTAGTTCTTGTTGAACCTTTTGGGTTTCCTGTGCCCTGAGAGCTATCCCACGCTCTTCAAGATTATCTGCCTCAACCCTAACCTTCATTATCAAGAGAACGAAACAATCACACAAAATGCTTCAATGTGTAAAATGAAACATGTTCTAGTCTCAAAAAGCGAAAGAAGTTAAACTCTACATTGTGCTAATAACTGGCCATATGACACAGCTCGACTTAAACAATTACTCAAGTCAACAGCTATGATCACTTCTGTTCCTGTGCTTATTTATAAAAAAAGAGAGCGTGCAACAAAAATCATGATCCAACGGTTTAGAATTTCTAAAATCATACCTCATGATAAAGTTTCATAACTTCTGCATGAAGAGATTCAGCCCTCTTGAACTGAGCTTCCAGTCTGTTCCTTTCCTCCATTAGTGATTGATAGAGCACACCTTTACGCTCCTGCTGCTTTTCTGGCTTTAGACTCTCCACCCACATCTTTGCTCGTTCAATTATATTTCCATCAAAACCAATTGATTTAGCAATGGCCAATGCATTTGAATTACCCGTGCTACCCCAGAGTAACCGGTATGTAGGTTGTAAGGTCTCCAACGAAAATTCCATGGCCGCATTCTCGTACTGAGAATCCATATCTTTAAGGCGACTTAAATCCGCATAATGGGTTGTTACGACAACTAAGTTGACATGATTCTTTAGATACTGCAAGATACTGGTGGATAGAGCCACACCTTCAGAAGGATCAGTTCCACAACCAATTTCATCAATGAGGACAAGTGATTCTTTTGAGGCTACTTCCAAGATATCACAAATTCTTGATACGTGGCCACTAAATGTTGAAAGACTTTGTTCCAAAGACTTCAGTGATAAAAGAAGTGTCAGAACAAATACAGAAATGAGAACTTAATGCTCAAAACACCAAAAGGAAACAAGTACCTGGCTGTCTCCAATATCTGCAAGAACAAGATCAAACCATGGCAGTGTTGGCTGCTTCTTAGCGGGCAAATACATGCCAGCCTTTGACATGATGGACACCAATCCCAAAGTTTTCATTGAAGCAGTTTTACCTCCTGTATTGGGTCCTGAGATAACGACCACCCTTGTTCCACATTGAACTTTAATATCTACAGGAACAGGAAAGCCACATAAACCTTTTGAAGACTTTATAGGAGCCATTCCATCACTTTTGCCCAAAATAGATGAATCCGTGGGGTTGGATGTGATGGAATCTGAAAAATTTCTTAGAGAAGACCCAAGGAGAAGTGGATGCTTTATTCCTTCAATATCTATTGAGAAAGCATTATCTGATCTGTTAGAAATTAACACTTCGGGTTCCTTTGAACTTAAAGTTGGACGGACACCATTCACCCACTGAGCATATGCAGCTCTAGCAAAAGCGAGATCAATTTCTACAAGTCTATCCAACAAATACTTTATCTCAGCTTCTGATTCTGCAATCTCAGATGTAAGCAGGCACAGGATAGCCATTTCCTCAGCTTTTTCAGAATTTGAAAGCTTTACTTCCATGTTGTTCAACTCAACTGCTTCTTTGGGCTCCACAAAGTATGTTGCACCAGAACTACTAACATTTAGAACCACACCACCTGGAAGCAGATATTTATGGGAAGCCCTGACACCCACACACATCCTTGACCGCCGCTTGGTTATTAAAGGTTTATCAATGCCTCCAGACTGAAATATACTAACTGATACTTCTTTCAACAGAGAATCCAGATTTTCCATGTTCCTCTTCCTTTCCGCCCTAATAAGTTCCAAATCTTCACTAGCTCTACCAAGGATAGTCGAAAGGCTGCAGTCTATGCAAAATCCAATCTTTTGCTCCAATTTCATCTGGAAATTACAATTTTGAAGTATTTCAAGCAATGGAGTGTACCTGGAAAAAGAATCAATAATTGAATGAGATTCAATAAAACTAAATTTAATGTTCATACATGCAGGTTATATTTTTAATGTCATAAAAGTAAACAGGAAACGAGCTGTGCACTCTTGACCTATAGTGCCTGAAAAAGAATATTAGACCCTTACTAAGACAATATATCGTATGATACACTGGTCTCTCCAAAGTCCAAATTGTATCAAGCAAGAAAGAAAATAAAAGAAAGAACCTTTAAGATATACTTCAAATAAAGTTGCTCACACCAAAATCATTTTAAGCTAAGATATTAACTGTCTATGGCATCTATACCGGAAATGCCAAAATATATGAATTGAACTCTGTTAGGATCAAAAGGTTGAATACTTAGAGGAATACAAAATCAAGTTCTTGACAAATGCAAAGAATCAAAACATTCATCAAAGTACACTTAACTTTTATTGATATGTATAAATGCCATTTCTTTCAAATTGAAGCTCGAACACTCATTAAGATGACACGCCTTGAAAACAACTACAAAACTATTAGACATGTTCCTCAGTTTTATATATGCATTTATGCTAATCCAATGTGAGGAAATCACTACATTAAGACAATACGAGTGCGACCAACTCGAAAACACAAAACTCCAACCATTTCAAAAACTGATTTAATGGACACTAAAGTCAGGCCAAAAATGCAAGAGAGAAATGAAGAAGAATTACGATACCTCTCCGAGGAACATTCTTCGGCAACCGCGGCCAACTTCTCAGAGATAGCTCTTGCGGCGCGGAGCATCCTCCGAACTCTGCAAAGCTCCCTCACTGTTAACAGCTGTCCTGAAGCCGCGGAGTGAAGGATCTCGGAGACGTTTTCGATTGCAGAGAGATCCAACGGGTCTGACTTCAAGGCCTCCATGGCGTGCAAAGCGGAAGTGGTTTGGTCAAGAAGCTTCTGGGACTCTTCCTGTGATTGACCGATGGGAATTGCTGCGGTTTTGGCGAGGGAGAGTGCCATGGAAGTAGATGTGAAGGGAGAGAGGTAATTGCAAAGGGAAGGCCATTCTAAGGTTTTTAGGGTTTCGCTCTGTAGGGCGGTGACAAGTTCGGATGAGTTGGCGAACGAGTTGATGAGTTTGAATCCGAAGGGTCTGGTTGTATGATAGGAGGGGCGGTGGCGGTCGCGGTGGCGGAACGAGAGAAATGGAGTGTTTTGGAGGAAAGGAAATGAGTGGAGATTTGCATGAAGATTAGTTATACTTCACCAGGATGTGATTTTCATATCCATTTCTGCTTACATTTACATGTTATATAAAATTGGAAATTACTTGATATACAAAAGTTTGTGTACTTTTCTTTATTTAAAAAAGTAAATACATATTAAAAAATTAAATGTCATCTCAATATCGTTATTAATCTTTCACATTAAAATAAAAATATGATGTTAATTTTAAAAAGTAATTAAGTGATTAAAATATAAAAATTATATATGAGATATATAAATAGTTTATCCTAAAAATAAATAAATACATCTATTTATTTTTTATTAAACTAATCATTTATATTTACGGTGGGCGTAGGCTATAAACGGATGTATATTAGATTAACAAACCATACACATAGGCTACGGCTGCTAAAGGAGACAGAAAGGGAAGATAAGGTAGTCAGTCCAGTAGGCCCACTACTCGAAACGGCGTCGCATGAGATTTTCTCTCACAGCTTGCTCGCTCGCCGCTACTACAGAGGAAGAAAACCAATTCGTATTTTTCTTTCACTCATCAATGCTGGTTTAAAATTCGAGTTTTCGGATCATTTCAATCTAGTTTCGATTGTACATCAGTAGACAAAAAACCTAGAAAATAGAAAGAAGAAGGAAATAAAAATGCCTCAGGTGAAGATTACCGCGAAGAATTTCATGGACATGGTGGCTTCGTTACCTTCCATTAAGCGACATGGTCTATCGTAATCAATTCATTTGCGAAGCCATACTCAGGTCTCCCCTTTTTATCAGAAACATTGAAGAAGCTAATCAACTCCTGAAACTATCGAAGATTTTTTTTATCGTGTAGGTCGTTGCCGCCGTTGGCGAAGAAATACGTGTTACAAATGTTGTACATCGAAGCTCCGATAACATCCAAGTCGTTGCAGGAGTGGGTTCTTGCTGATGGATCATCTAAGCAAAATGTTGCCATCGATCGGTTGATTCAGTTAAGAGTATTTGAAGTAATTGATCGGTAAGCAACAGCGTCTATTCTTTGCTTACTTTTCGTTGATCTTCTCTTTAAAATAAAGAGGCTAGCAGCTTAAGCTTAGTCTGAAAAATCCATTTTTTCCTCTCGTTTTTTCTTGTTAATGTGCATATTGTGCTAACTGGATTAACCAATCTTTATCTTCTCGGCAGGAAGAAATAAACAACATATAAGTTAAATCAAACATTTCAGACTAGTCTCCGGAAGCATTTGATATACGGGTAAGTTTTCCTTGTTTTGTTTGTTTATACGATACTCATTTCTTTTGTAGTTATCAAAATGTAAGGGGATAAAATTTGCCCTTTGTTATGTCTTGTGGGTTTACATGTAAAACCTTCAACTTTGCCTGTTTAATATTTATTCATCTAATTAGGTATTTCTTTTATTACAGCCAATTCTATCCCTCACCTTGTTGCTACTTGCTAGATTCCTTGTGCTGTGTTGTTGTTGTTGTAGTTATATAAAGGATTATAACTTTGCAGTGGGATTTTGCAAAGAGAACCAATGCCTCCAAATGTTATTGCAAGACTTCCAACCTCAGAGGACTCGATGCCTATGCACTTGAGCAATGGGAGGTGTGACTTTCACCTACCATTTATATTGTTTTACTAGCATAATTTATGTTCTTAATGGTGGTATATGTGTTGTGGAATTATGAAATTACTTTTGCAATTTGATTGACTGTTCAGTTTTATTGTTTGATAAGTTCAGGACAAACTGAAAGATCATCAAGCTTCAGCTCTTCCATGATGAGAATTTTTCAGCGTGGTCTTTTACGTCAGAGATGTTATATCCTGCCATGCACTTTAGCTTCATTTCTTTTATGCGGTAGATATCAAGGGTTCTATATCTCGCGATTTCTGCTTCTACAGAGACAAAGAAGCAACAAGATTAACTGAGAGTGGTTTCCAGTTCTTGGTGTGCATTGTATAACTCATGGTGCTTTTGCATCTTTTTTGGTTGTCTGTCACCTAAAATTACCTCTCATGTGTGAAATTTACAGCTGATGGATACAAATGCTCAGCTTTGGTATGTTATCAGAGAATATATCTCCAATTCAGAGGTGTACTTCATTAGATATTTTTGGTGTTTTGCTTGAAACTTGTTTGTTACAGATAGTGTGTTGTAATTTTTCTAAATTCTTGCAGGGGAAATCAGCATGGATTTATTATAAATTTGGTATTGCTTTATTAGTATGTATAATCCTCTTAAATACTAGTGTACTCTTAGGTCTGCAACTGTGCATATGTGTGAATGCGAGAGTTTGTGTATACTTGTGTGTTTGTTCGGAATTACAATAGCTACTTTTAGTTCAAGGAAAAAAAGGTAAATTCTGGCCATTTGTTATATATGGGATTTATGGTTGCATACATGTTTGTGGATTGATGGATTCATCTATTGATCTGTCTGGTTTCACCTCTTTACTCTAATTGGAGGTTATTGATGCAACTCCAGTTCTGTCATGCTATATAGCATGTTTTTGTATCTTATGCTTGGACTTTCATCTTTTGGTGCAAGGTGTAGACCAAGCAGATTTAATTGCTTTTCTGTTTCCATACCACTGGTAGGTATGCCATATTCATTTTTAATTTTTCCCTTGATCCATGATTGTTCACAGAAAAGTTTTGTTAGAAGAAGTCTATGCTTTACCATTTGTTTAATCCTTTTTGTCTTGGAAAGAATCTACATTAATCTTCATTTTGTTTTTGGTTTAAACCTTTTGTTGTCTTTTGTTATTTGCATAGCAGCTTATTTCCTTTAGGGGTGCTTTCTTTTCTTGAAGTTCTTTAACGCTAATTTCTGTGACAATTTTTTTTTGGGAATTTTGATATAAATTTGCTTTGTCTTGTCATAGGCTTATAATTTAGATACACTGACGGATGACCAGACTGCTATGATCAAGGACCTTGCAGACTTGGGATTAGTCAAACTTCAGAAGGTTCTCCTAATTAATGTTATTTTTCTTATAGGATACATGACAATCTGTTTCAAGTTATACTTAATGATGGATCTAAGGTATTTGCATATGTTCAGGGCTGGAAGGATAGTTGGTTTATACCTACTAAATTAGCCACCTATCTTTCAGTCAGTTTAGCATATACAACACCAACGAAACAGGTATGGCTGATTAAGTGTGTTGCGTGAATACATGGGTTCTGATGTATTAACCATTATCGCTGTTTTCCAAGTAGTGTTACTCTGTACTCAAGCAGTTCTTATGCTGTATTTTTCGTCAGGGATTTTTTGTTGTGGAAACTAACTTTAGGATGTACTCGTACTCATCATCTAAGTTGCACTGTGAAATTTACGTCTATTCTCAAGGTACGAGGTAGTGATCCTTAAATTTTGTTGCATTAAGAAAATGCTGCATTAGTTGCCTTATTGAAGAGCCAAATTGCTTTTAGATGGAGTAACAACAAACAATCTTCAAATAATTAGGAAAGTGATAATATACCTAGTAACTTTTTTCCCCTGAAAAAATGGACTTCCCGTTTTATAACTGTTGGATATCGTTTTCCTGAATGGCTCCAAGGAAAGTGGAAATCACCCACGGTCAAAAGCAGAAAATTTCCATTGACTTTGGGGTCTGCGGAGCTAATATGTGGAAATGCAACCACTCAACCATAGCACCAAAAAATAAACTATCTGAATGGATTTGATCCTATTGTCTATAGAAGATAGAAATGTAGTACTACTCCCTCCGTGTCATTAAATTTGCCCCCTTTGGTTTTTAAAATTGTCACATTCAAAATGTCCTAACAGAAAAGTAAACAAACAACACCACGTGTATTTTCATTTTTACCCTTATATGCCCCACTCTTTTACACCTATCAAAATAAATCTGTCAAATCTATCAATCACTTTTTAAAGATAATTTTGTCATTCTCCTCATTTTATATAATTTAACATGTGGTCAAATTTATCTCCTAAAACTATGTATTTAGTAAACATGGGACAAAAATAATGGGACGGAGGGAGTAATAGTTTTTTCGCAAGTAAACGATGTGACTGTTTCTGCTTTATTTAAAGCATAGCTGATTAATAGTTCTCTTTTCTGATTCTATCTATCTTCCAACCACTTTCATCGGCTTGTTTCTAAAATTCGAAGATTTATTACTGCTATATTAACTAGTTGAACTCTTCACTAAACAATAATGTGCTCACAATTAGAGGGTAGAGTATCAAATTCCAAACCTCATAGTTGGTGCAATGACGAAAGATAGCCTGTATAATGCTTTTGAAAATGGAATTACAGCCGATCAGGTTAGTATCCATTTCTAGTTGCTCCTTTTATGTTCCAAATTGCAGGACCTAGACATGCAAGAAATCACATGATCAACAATAATGGCTACTGAAATTATCCAACATAGCCTATGCAGCTTCTTTCGCCAATGTAACTCCTGAATACAGATAGTTACATTCCTTCAGCAGTACGCACATCCTCGAGTTGCTGAGAAAGTACCATCAGTACCCAAAAATGTCACAGATCAGGTTAAATACGTAACTCTGCTGGAAAAAATAAGTGGCACTGTGATGTGACTAATTCATTTAAACTGATACATCCCGACTTCAATGGACGTTTATTGAGTATGCTAATGTATTCATTTAAACTGTGATTGTGGGAAAGTGATTTGAAAAGAGTTGAGATGACTCCGGCACATTTTTACGATGAATTTCCTTCAAGGGTACTCTCAACCCTCTTGATTTTAATGATGCATTTCTGATGTCTCTGAATATTATGTGATCATATCTTGGTGTTCTTGTCTTCCTTTATCGGACAGGATGTCTACGAAGATGCTTCTGACTCTGCCCGAGTGCATTCCGGTTTACTATGGGAAGATGCAAAGAAAATGCGTCTGGCTGTAAAGGCAGAGATTCATATGGCTATGCGTGAGCGTCTTCACTCTCAAAAGTAGATTGTACGGCCGATATGTATAACGTGCAATCTCCCAATGATGTAGGCCAAATGATATTGTTCGAAGTTTTGGTAGCGAAGAGGGTGCTGGGAGTCTCCAACTTAGCAGCAACAGGGTCCTTGTATGAAAAAATTCCTTTATTTTATTTTAAGCTTTAAATTTGGTAAGATTTTGATTCGGTTTATAATTAATTGTAATTGGTTCATTTTTAGATTCACAAGTTAAAATAATAATTATTTGAAAAGAAAATATTATATAAAAAGTACTTTATGAAAAATTCAAAAGCTAATGAACTACACCAACCTGAAATTGGTTAACTTTTATATTTGATTAATTTTTATATAAAAAACAGAATAATGCATGCGAGTAGTGAAATTAAAAAAAAATCGAATAGAGCCGTTATCATACAAAAAAATTCCTCAAATAAAAGAAACTTGTTGCTGCCTAGGATTGAACTGGGGACACCTTTAGTGTGTAAGACTATCGCGATAACCACTACACCACAGCAGCCTACAGAGCGAAAGAATTGCGTAGTATTTTTACTAACTTTATAAATAATAAAAACAGGGGCCTTCATTATTTGACAGTGAAAAAATATAAAAGCCAAGCAACAAGAAAACAACAGATAGCTTCCGAAAAATTTCCCCTGTATCTCAATTATTCCTTCATAACTTTGATTGATAAGCCACTGCCACATCCTTTTCTCCTTTTCCTGTATTCTGAAACTCTATAGCGTATCTAACATCCATGTTATTGTTAATCTTGAGATTATCCTGGTGTTGATTATCACAATGGCTAGTATTCTAAAATCTTGCATGCAATTTATGTTGAAAGCTGTGAACTTGATAATGGCAATGGTAGGGGTTGCTATGATCTTATATGGCTTTTGGATGCTCAGAGTTTGGCATAGAGACATGTCGGGCTCATCTTATGATGACTTGGATTATACTGCTCCATGGTAAGTAACATCAAAAGTTCTTTATGTTACTCGAGACCTTTTAAAGATTTTCCGTTATTTCGAGGATTTTGAAGGTCATATCCCATGTCGGAGATTTGTGTCCGGGCAACATAGCTTTTTGTTCTATGTTAACTGATGATCTTACTGCAACTGCAGGTTTATATACACTTTTCTGGCCACAGGAGTCACCTTATGCCTACTAACATTCCTAGGCCATATTGCTGCAGATAGTGCAAATAGATTTTGACTTTTCTGTGTATCCTTTTTCATTGACTTTAGCTTTATTCGAGTTCGTAAACTTCTTCTTCGATGCCGGTTTCCCCTTGTTTTCATAGGAAAACTTGTTTTGCAAGCAATATTTGTTGTTCTTCAATGGTAGAAAGTACATGGTGATAATCTCAGTGCTTCTACTGATAGAGACTGGAATTGCAGCTGATATACTCCTAAACGAAGATTGGGAAAAGGTATAAAGCTTTCGCTATTTGTATTTTGCTTAATCTCTCTTCATTTTAAGTACTTTTAGTTTCATTGTTGAGATCAGGATATACCCGATGATCCAACAGGGAGGTTCCATGATTTCAAACAATTTGTGGAGACTAATATCGACATATGCAAATGGATCTTCTTGATTATTTTCTTAGCACAGGTAACTTTATCTGCACAATTTTATGGATTTTGATCTTCAGAAGATTACGAAGGATGTTTCGGTATGTTTCGAGTCGTTTCTTCACAGGGACTTTCGGTACTATTGGCTATGGCACTGAGAGCCTTTAGCCCCACCAACCAATCCTCAAACTATGATAGTGATGAAGAATTCACTCAAGCCAAGCTGCCACTCGTAAATAACCGTGCTCAACAACCTGCTTATGTCATTGGAGAACCTCCTTTCGCAAACAATAATGAAACTTGGAATGCAAGAAATCGTTCCAGCTTCCTTTTTCCAATCCCTTTATTTTATTTTTTCTCGATTTAATTTGATTTTATATTGACTTATCACCAACAGACGAACAAGTGAGAAAAGGGGAGTCTGCAATTTTATGTATCTATCATTCACAAATCACAAGCGAGAGAAACTGAGAAGCAGAAGCAGAAGCAAAGTTCGCCATGGAAAACACTACCAAGCTAGGAGCACCATTGATGCTCACACCAGAAAACAAGTTTCGGCATAATGTTAGGGTGGTTAAATTCGTAAATTCATGTCGTATTTCCGTTTTGTTAGTTCATAATTTGCGTTATATGGATTTTGACACGTTCATGCATTACTTGTGCTCGAAACTTTATCATGTCAATGAAAACCTGTTAAAGTTACATGTGACTACCAGATATCGAGAAATCTCAGACCGAAATATTTAGGTTTAAAGATAATATTACGAGTGAAAAGAATTAACAAATCTATGAAAGATGGTATATGAATAAATTAGCTCGGACACACAAAGCTACATGATTGAATCTTAATTCCTCAAATGTTTATAAACAATAAGAAAGTTAAAAGCTTCAAATTATAGCAATCCTCGTACAGAAACACAGGACGGCAGATGCCAAAGTGACTGGGAGAGAAACAACCTATTCATTTTTTTTGGGGGAGCTTTCTCTTCATTCGACTAAAAGGTCCAACTGTTTGGTCCATAATATACATGTAAATAACATGGCTCCAAGATTTATACGATTCCAAGCATTCGTAATATTCAGGAGCGATTTCTTTCACCTTATGCAACTTGGACCCTGGGATCCTTGGGAAATCATGGTGTTCATTGTGATAGCCAACACTCCATGTTAAAAGGTTGAGGGGACCATAGTAAGAATACGTCTCTTGCTCAGGCTTGAATACATAATGCTCGGAGATAAAATGGCCAGCCATCGGGTGCATTCCACCCCCAACGAATGTCGAAAGGATCAAATAAGAATAAGATCTCCACCCACAAAAATAAACAATGGTTGCATCAAGAGCGAGCTGAACAAATAAGTTTATGAACTCCCAATAACCGGGGGGCTTTGGTTTGAGGAATAAAGGACGGAGTGCATAGAAGAAGAGTTGGAAGATAACCCATATTGATTTTGAGACAACATTAGTCACATAATGCGCTTCGATGTAGCTGGGAACATCCATGTCGATACCATCTACCCCTTGGAAACGATGATGCTCGAGGTGATACTTTTGGAAAGTGACGGACATAGGCACGCCGATGGGGAGGTTGGCGAAAATCCCAAGCCAACGGTTGTAGATAGGAGTCGAAAAGGCAAGATTGTGGCTGAGCTCGTGGATGGCTAAGAAGAGATTGTGGTTTAGGAAAGAGCCAAAGAAGTAGGCAATTGTCAATATACTCAACCAGCTGGCATCATGAAGGATAGTGGTAGTCCATAGTTGAAGCAAAACAACCACACTTATCTGCAATGCAAAGGGTTTCAAATTTCTTTATATTCATCGACACAATTCACTTGGAATGGATCTATTATTTGAAAGTTCCAAGCATCACAAACTCCAACTAACGGTAATGGAAGAGCTTTATTCCAATCAATGTTAACTCGAAAGATGACTTTTTTTGCAGTCCCAAAACAGGAAGAAAAAAAAAGACCCCAGGATTTCCATTGAAGTAAGCATGAAGAAAACAGAGAAAAACATCAAAACGAATACATTTAGCCAGCTGCATTGCCTAGGATCTAAATACAGTAAAACAAATAAACTGAATATCGAGATGAAAAAAGAAAAGAAGTTTAAGTGGCAGTCCATAGCTGAAGCAAAACAACCACACATATCTGCAATGCAAAGGGTTTCAAGTTTACCTTCATTAACACAATTCACTTCAAATGGATCTACCATTTGAAAGTTCCAAGCATCAAAACCCAGTAAAAAAGAAAGTTGGGTTTCATAAAAAAGATTGTAATCAGAACAAAAATGTACTCATAAAGAGAGCTTGATTCCAATCAATGTGACTTGAAAGATGAATTCTTTTAATCCCAAAATAGGAAAAAGGGAAATTCCAGATTGCCATTGAAGTAAATATGAACATAACAGAGAAAAAAAAACATCAGAACCAATATTTTCAGCCAGCCATGGAGCATAATGGCAGTCCATAACTGAAGCAAAACAGCCATACTAACCTGCAATGAGTTTCATGATCATATTTCATTGACACAATTCATTTCGAATGGATATACCATTTGGAAGTTCGAAGCTTAATTCCAATCAATGTAACTTGAAAGTTTTTTTTTTCAATCCCAAAATAGAAAAGAGGGAAACCCCAGATTTACGTTAAAGTAAATAAGAACAAAACATAGGGGAAAAAATAAAAATCGAACCCATTTAGCAAAGCTGCACTGTCTCGGATCTACAAACAGAGCAATAGAAACAAATTGAAGAATGAGATAAAAGAGTACATTACCTTGAGGAAAGCAAAGGGATCAGGGCCAAAGAGCTCTTTAATTTGAGGGTACTGAAAGAGGATTTGACGTCTGCTTGAAGCATGAGGCTCGTCTGTATATGACCAAAAGAAGTCATTTGCCATTACTATTCCTTCTTCTTTCTTATCTTCCTCTCTCCTTTCCCCTCCTTTCCCCATTTTATCTCTTCCCCTCCAAAGTCCAAAACCCTTTTGATTATCTTTCCTTCTGATTCTCCTCTTCTATCTGTTTGTCAGTATGAAGTTGCGGATTTTCTTCTCTGATGTATGATATATGTATACACGGAAACCGCCATAAATTTGTTGCGTAATAAAATATGGGATATTTTCTCGCCTTTTAGAACAGTTGTACGACTGATTGAGCGATCTTCACTCTTCACGGTTTTAAAATTTTCATTCTGGTTCTGGCACCCTTAAGGGTAAATTTATCTAAATAATACGATCTTTTTAATTATTCAAGCAAATTACATTTAAAAATATTTATAAAGAACATTAAGTTCTTGACACATAGTATAAAGTATTATTTTTAGAAATTCTGAATTTAGACATTTAGATCTATATAATATTTATACATTATCATAAACTAATAAAAATATTATTTTATAATCATCGTATATAATTTAAAATGAAAAATAAAAGGTAAGATTACAGTCCATGTCTTCTCAGAAAATCATATCAAAATTAAAACGTGTGATGATCAATCCATATTTTTAAATTAAAATATATTAAATTATAAAAAAAATTAACCATGAAAATTAAAAAAAAATAGTTTCGTGGAAGAAAAAAGTAGTAATACACTTTCTAAAGATTTTTCTTTAAATAAATGTTGGTTTTTTTCAGATCTTTGAAAGGTATACTTTTATTAATTTTATGGAGTCTTAATTATATATTTTTAGTATAACTCTTAAACTAAAATATTAAATCAATTACAATCTTTAAATAAGAATTGAATCAATCAAAATTTTTAATTATTTGATAATTAAATTTTAATAAATTTTTAGAGAGATTATTATCACGTTTATGTCACATGAAAATATTACTTAAAAACAAAATGTGACATATAACATCAATTGATCTAAAAAAAAGCCGTTAGATTTAACAGCAACCGTCAAATAGGTGAATAGATGAAATTGTAAAATATAAGGACTTAATTGGATGAAAAGAAAGTTGCTTAATTAGTTTTTTTTCCCAAAAATTTGTGGGCTCCATGTATTCTTAAGTCGAAAATTAAATACCAAAGTGGGAAAAAAGTATAGAACAGGGGCTAAACAGTGAATAAAAACCTTATTTCTGTTTCATGACACTGCAAGACTCAAAAGATAGCAAGCTGGTAAAGAAGAGCACAAGTAAAAACCAGACAAGGTAGGGTAGCCAAGGATTTAACATAAGGCTATACAAAGCATGTACAAATGTACAAAATACAGTTTCATAAATCCTAGATGCACTACCTCAAGCAACAGCCCACAATAACTCGGGCATGGTCGTTTACGCTATCGACGAGATGAAAATACTCGGGACTGCAGAGACAACATTATAGACTATAGTTATCATAAAAAATGGTATCAGGGACAATAAGGGGCAACTTATCTATGTACATGAAAAGCCTTCGAAGATTCTCCCTCGTAACTGTGGCCATGTCGATTACATCCCGGCTGTCTGTGTATACCCAGAGATCCCCAGAGTTGACTCTCTTGAAACTATCACGACAGAAAGGGCAGGACCGTGATCTTGTCCGCCTGCAATTCATTACAACAAATATTATTCGGTACTACTTTTTAAGTTTTCCGGAACATTGATCATACCAGAAGAGGCAATGATCAGCTAGTAGATAATCAGGAAACCATATGGAGCAAACAAGTAAGATATTGAAGTCAAGACACTAGATTTAAGGCACGAATAAATTCAACTATTCAAAAGCATTTCAAACTCGAGATGACATGTTCGAAAGCAATTCGGACTATCGGATGACACATATGCACCTTTAGATGTCTTTTTATCTCCATTCAAAAGATACTAATTATGCAAGGTTATGAACCAAACGATAAAGGTCCTAAGCGTGTCATTATAGAGTCTCTAAAGGGTAAATTAGTAGTGCATCGGGACTGTTATCCGATAACTCTTGGGATGTATAAACAGGGAAACTTTACCGGATTTCTAAAGAGAGAGCGATGAGGGGATAAAGGGCTTTGAAGAGGAAGAATACCGTTCATGATAACAATTCAAGCACATGGCGTGGTAGAAATTTGGTAGCAAAATTTTACTGTCCATCTCCATGCATATTCCGCATTCTTCTTCTCTTTCAAAATCAACATCAGTAAGCTTCTCTTCTACGATACCTTTCCATGCACGCTGCTTTCTGTTTTTTTATCTTCGGTATCAGTGACACCACTCTGATGTTGCTGCAAAGAGGGATAGATAATAGCTGGACACGAAGGAATCGAGAAGCATTAGGATAACTTATGAACTACGTTCTACAAATTCACCACTCAAACGGAGAAAGATACAATAGAACTCTCTGATGCTTACTTTCCTTTAATGTGTAGACATAGTGGTAGTTCCATCCACATAAACCTGTGGAGTGCAATAAGATGATGAAAATGGAGCTAATTTCCATCGTATAAACATATGAGCTAGACATAAAGTAACAAATACAACCTTGTAAATAAGTATTCTTAACAGTCCAAGGGCTCCTCCAGCAAGGTGAAAGTCCCACTGCACCAAAAACGAAAAGAGGTGCGCGGCTGGACTGTATGACATTCTCATTTGAAGGCATGCCTCATCGTACTCCCTCGGAAAATCCGACGCCCTGCACCTTGCATTGCACGGGGACGTTTAAGCCGAATGAGAAGAACATGATGATTATGGTAAGCTAACGTGGGTCAAAATATATTTGTGAATAGTGAATACACACTGTGGAGAAAGCAATATTATACATAATGATCAACAAAAGTCGACAGAAAAAAAACAATGGTGGGAGGAGCCATCCCCCCCCCCCCCAAAAAAAATGTTCGAATATTTTCTAGGTCCCCCCTAATTTTAAAACTACACAAATTAAGTTTTGCCCCATCCCAGTTTTTTAGTTTCAATTGCATGTTAGGTCCTCTTAGTTCGAAACTAGGCAAATTAACCTTTGGCTCTCAAATTTTTTGGGTCAATTCGCTTTTTAGATCCTCTTAGTTTTGAAACTAGAAGAATTAAGCCATGACCTACCATTTTTTTATTTTGAATACTTCTTAAATTCCTATCAATTTCAAAATTAAACAAATTAGAACGTAACACCCTAATTTTTTATTTTAAAATTGATTACTTATTTTTTATTTCGCCCTTGAAATTTCATCTTGGCTCCGTCCCCAATCGACAATTATGGCAGTCCACTTCAATCTCAGAGGGCCAAAGCACTAAACTTCAAAATATGGATTTTTAAAATATAATGTGCACTTCAAGAGCCAAAAGTTATATCTTTTTATTTGGGGAAAAAGGCAAAGGATCAAATATAGAGGGATTGAAAATCAAATGCCTTAGCGAAGGCCTGATAGCAACTGATAACATTATTATGTGCCAGTAAAACAAAATTCATAGTAATGATCTGAAAACCAATATTTTTCAAATTTTCAAACAAAAAGCTTCAAGCAATATCAGCAGTAGCATTCATTCCCAACATAAACTAAAGCAAAGACAAAGAAAAGCATCACCAAAAGGAAAAACCCAAACCATGAAAAAGCAAGAAAAACAAAACCCCTAAAATTTCCAGGACTTACAGAGTATTAGCGTGTTGGATATCAGCTTCTAGCACTTTAAGAGAGTCCTCGAAAGATCTTCGTATAGTGATTTTTCACGAGAGAATTACCCGTGTACATCTCCCTCCAACCCTAAAACAACCAAATTCTAACCCCAAAAGAACCCTAATTTCCTTTTTCCGAGCTAGTGATTTTTCACGGTATGTTTGGAATCTTTTCTCTCTCGCTTTTGGCGGGTGGTTATAAATTGTAGGTGGCAGTGGACAGTCATGAACTTGTCTTGAAAATGCTGTGATGAACGGGGATTTATAAGGAAAGAAACTCATTATAAAGTTTAAAAAATGTTATATCGAAAATATTAATATTTTTTTAATATTTTTGATATAATATTATTTAAAATATTTTTTATCAAAAATATTAATATTAACCTCTCCCTAAAAGTCTATTTTTTTACTGAAAATATATAATATTTGATGTTACCTAAATTGTTTTGTCAAAAATATTAATATTAACATTTTAATTAAAAAATAATATAAGTAAAAAAATTATATAAAAATAACATTTTAAATAATAATTTATTAAAATTATTAAAAAATATTAATATTTCTAATAAAATATTTCTTTAATCTTATATTAAATTATCATACAATATAACTACCCGTGATGAGCTCCTTATCCGATATCGAAATGACGACTTTTTTTTAGGAATCTTTGACTTTTGTTCTCCTTTTTGTGATTTTGTCTGCTACCTTTCACATTTGATTTCGGTAGATTTTTTTGAACACATTCGTCTGAAATTAACGTTCTTGGAAAGATGGGAAGAGACAAAGCTGTCGGTCCAGATCAAATTTCTATCACTGTGTGGTTGGTACTAGGAGAAGATGGAGTTAAGTGGTTGACCAACATCTTTAATATTATTCTATAGACTACCAAGATGCCATAGGAGTGGAGAGAGTCTACGGTGATACCAATCTATAAGAATAAAGGAGATCCCCAACGTTGTGGCAACTACATAGGTATTAAACTACTCAGCCATACCATGAAGCTATGGGAAAGGGTGTTAGAGGCTAGGTTGAGACAGATTACTAGGGTTTCGGAAAACCAATTTGGCTTTATGCCAGGTAGGTCAACCACGGAGGCGATTTATCTTCTTCGACGACTTATGGAGAAATATAGGGAAAAAATAGAGATATTCACATGGCGTTCATTGACCTTGAGAAGGCGTATAATAGCGTTCCCCGCGATACTATCTGGAAGACATTGGAAACAAGACGGATCCCAACTGCTTATATCCGCGCGATTCGTGATATGTACTGTAGATCTACTACCTACGTTAGGACTACAGTTGACGACACCGAGGCATTCCCGGTGGAAATCGAACTCCACCAAGGGTCGGCTCTTAGCCCTTACATCTTCGCTTTGATTATGGACGACATCTATTGTGCGACACCAGACGGTGTTCCATGGTGTATGCTTTTCGCTGACGACATTGTCTTAGTGGTTGAAACAAAAACTGAGTTGAATAGTAGACTGTCTACCTGGAAAACAGCTTTGGAAGAAAAAGGTTTAAGGATCAATATTGAAAAGACAAAGTATTTATGTTCAAACTTCAGTGGGAACCAAAACGATGA